CTTACTCTCCATTGTGTCAAGGCAGTGATGTATCCTCTGTTTCAGATTCTTTGGCATTCTTAATCTGACTGACCCTCTCTTTCATGTTCTGTTAGTTGCTGCTTCTGCTCAACAAAATTCAGCAAAGTAATTCTCCCACCTTGCATCAACATGATTCAGCCATCATATATGTTCAGCACTTTCCCAAATACAGTAAATATCTCTATATGCAGCTGTTGATGGACAGGCATGAAGTTTTGGAGCACAGAATGTTTCTAATTCTGTCCACCTTTTGTCCACGTGCTGACTTGCAGACAGCCTGTGAACTGCTGATATGGGTGCTGTGAATGTTGTCTGTGAGTGTGGAGGGGTAGACAAATTGTTTAAATGAACCATTAAAGACAGTTTCTTCAAGATGGGATTGTGGTGCATTGACAGTGTGGTAGCAAGGAAACATATGTTAAGTGTTACTGTTCTATTCTGTGGTTAGTGTGGTTGTCAACAAGTTCTGTTTTTTCTGAGATGCCAATAAGCAGCGATAACCAACTTCTTTGCTGTCACTGAATTTACACCCACTCCATTATCATCCTAAAACATCATCTTAATTAAAATATATTTCTGTAGGAGCTCAGTGATTTCAAAGACATAAAGTGTCTTCCCTAAAAATGAGAGATCGTCATTCATACCTACCATTAATAGGTGAGATTTTCAGTTCAATGGGTTCATAAGCATAGGAAAAAAACAAAAAAATTGAGGTTCAGTCTTGTGAACATTTCATTATTCAAAGCTATTATTGTCTGGAGAGATGAGCAGAGAGAGTGCAGGTAATGAAAACGAATTTTATAAAATATAATTGCAGTTATAGCCACATTGAAACATACGTTGTTATCACAATCTCATCTGTTCAGTATGTGCTGTAACTGGGGCAAGCTCCTTGCTGACTTACACTTGGAGTTTTAAGATTTGCAGATGGTGTGAATCACCAGGGAATGCAAACAGTACTTTTATAAACCTTTAGTTTTATTAGATGGATAACACCCACAAGTGCATTTCTATAAACAGACAAAAGTATGGCTAGCACAGTGGCAGAACAAACTTCCTGCAGGGTTTGCAATGTGGAATCACAGGGAAAGTTCCCCAAGTCAGAAGGTAGTTCAACATCCACAGCTCTGTCAATTCCTGGTCCCTTCCTGCAGTAATGGTAAGAAACACTGGTAAACCTAATGCTTTTTACTTCTGATATAGCTTTTCAAATAAACAGATAACTTGGTGTTTTTATATCTTGGAGTTCCTAAATAAATAGCAAATGGTCTTTATTCTTTTTCAGTGAAGCTGTGTACAATGTTAATATTTACTAATAGAAGTGAGTTTCTCATCTGTGTAAGATCAGTCCCTGGCACATTTTTTCAAGTGGTATCTGCTCAGCTATCTGTTTAGCTCTGTGACTAGAGGCTAGTCATTTTACTTTGGAATGGCCTCTTTATTGTGTGGCCTTGCAAGAGATGAAGTTGCTGATGTCCATGCCTATGTATGTTTTGTAGTCTTAATTGCCATTCTGGATCAAATTAGATAACTAAAATATATTGAATGATTTATAAAATACGTTCAATTATGAAGGTGAAATGATGGAAGTTCATACAGTGAAGTGCCTTGACTGGATTCTATTAATATTGTTTGTCTCTCGCTCTGTCAAGGTGTGGCAGAAACAGACCTTGAGTGTACCTGAACGGTGTCCTGGAGCATTTAGCAACTCTGAACAGTTGATGTATGTGGAGCAGGTAGCTGTAATGCATTTAGCTGAAATGGAAACAGGCAAAAGATCATTTCTCCAGAGTATGGCCAGAACACTGCACTTCCTGTGAGAGCATTGTGAAATACTTAATGGAGGCAAGTAGTTATTTGTGTTTTTTGGGGGAAAATGACAACTCTGAACAGCCCCAGGGCATTAACTGGTGCAAAAGGCTGGTTGTGATTGAAAGTGGAAGATGCTTCCTAATTAATGATGTAAACCACACTGCAGAACAACTTGGTCTGATTTTTCAGTAACACAACGTAATTGGTTGCATCATTACACACTGTATTGTCAGCAACTGCCAATCTTAAGAAGCTACACCTTTCTCAGTTGCAGTTTTAGGATTAGGACACACAATATTGTGAGATTACAGAAACAAAAATCAAAACAAAACGCAAAAAAACCCAACCCCATAATAAAACATGCCCCCTAATTTTGTGTGTTTCTTCACATTCCTTTTAATTGTGAGCCTGCCTAATGTTACCCTTTCAAGCTTTTCACTGTGACTGAGAAATCTGAATGTGATTTTTCATAAGTGAAAATAGATACCTTCCTGTCATCACTGGATTTCTATTCCTGGAGATATAACAAAATATAAACTATTATGGAACTTTTATGAAATAATGTATTAAGAATTGAGGAGGATTTATTTCTGTCAGCCTCCTTCCAGAGAGGCACTGGAACTTTTAATGAAGAAACTTTCTTCTAGTCCTGTGTGCTTGATATCATACTTCAGCCTCTTTCTTGCAGGTGTAGTGGGAATGTCTCTTAGCATTGTCATAATTTGCAGGCATTCCCAAAGGTTTGTCTATGAGACTATGGTATTTACACTTACTGGTATAGTATTTGCACTTACATGAAAACAACATGCTTAATAATGTTGGATTTGTTTCAATGCGCTTAGATACAATGCAAGCACAGCGTAAAACAAATTACATGCCAGCTAATAAAGAGTAGGTTTTGACTACAAAGTTGGGAATACTGGGGGAAGAAAGAGAAAGCAAAAAATCGGGAAATGTAAATATGTAGTTTATTTGAGTCTAATCTCTTTCCAAAGCTGCCATTTAGGATTTCTTCAAGTCTTAGCTGCGATAGTTAAGAGTTAAGGCTAACTCGACAGACCCCTGCCTTAATGATTCTGTCTTTCAGAACAACCTAGCTCTTCATCTAAACACGTGTAGGGTTATCATCCTGTCTGCATTCACTGAATCTTCAGAGGCTTTCCTGGACTTTGGATTCCAACATTTGGGTTCCCCGTGGTGTTTGTCTCAGACAAGTCTTCCCTGACAAGCTGGATCTTGTGTTTGCCTCATTTCTTTATTATCTCAAACTCCTAGTTGCTGTTACTACCAAAAAGAAGAGCACAGAACATTTCAGCTCATATCTACATTTACAGCAGAAAAAAAAGCTGTTGCCACTGTACGTTATTACAAATAGTCATCGCTCAAAGCTTGTAACAGTTTTCTATCTTAAAGCTACGTATGTAATTACCAGTGCAGTGAGGTGAAGAGAATTCAAGTGAGATGTGCAGGATCCCTAAGCAAATCAGTGGCAGAGCTATGAACAGAGGCAGCTCTCTTACCTGTCACAGGGCCATCCTTCTCCCTTGCTGTCGGTGCTGATCTTGATACGCAGTTACAAACAGAAGTACATGCATCTGACTCACATGGATGTTACCGTCTTAGCAGTTGCCCAGCTTGAGAATATGAAGGCCTGTTCAAGAGATATTAAATACAGAGGTGTCACGAGCCTTACTCTTCACAATTGTACTCCAACCCCCTCGCAGTTTCTGTTATTTCCTGTTTTACCTTAGTCTAAAAATCTGTCGCAGAGCTAATTCCTAACTTGTAGAGATAGTGTATCCATGGGGAGAAGTTCTTCACCTACAATCACATTTTATTGTTCCCTTTGTGGTTTATTCTGGCACTTCGACTTGCCATACTTGCATAAATTCGATTCTGTAGAGTGCTTTGTAAAATGCCATGCTTTTGATTTTAAATGTGCTTCAGTGTGATGAATGCAGCATTCGAGTGGGATGCGGAGTGGTGCTTAGAGTTGTAGATTGTAGCTCCAGGTTTTATTCTCAAGCCTCTCCCCAGATTATTATATGGCTTTCTGCTCCTGCATTCCATATCTGTAAAATGAACGTGCTTTACCTATGCTGCAGGTCTGTGTTGATACTCAGTTGTTTATTTTATTGGACAGGTAGGCAACAGACATGCTGTAACATGTCATAGAACGGTGGTTGTGCTTGTATATTACTTACGCGACTGCTACATTGTACTTTCATCATTTTTTTTAGTGATAACAAATGCTTTCCTGGGTGGTGAATTGTCTAAAATGGAATCACTGTTTTAACATCTATTTATGTGGTGCCTTTCATTCCTTGGGTGGAGCAAGCAGAAGGAAAGGTATTACTAGAATACAAACATAACGTTAAGATTGTGCTTTGAGATCTCTGAATAAAATATGCTGAGGGTTATTACAGCTGTTTTCTTCCAAGAAAACATTATCAAAAATTATTATTATTTTTATAGGCACTTTTATCTTCTGTACTTTAAAAGCAGGCAGTAATCACCAGCGTGTCTTAATACATCAGTCAATGGAGAAAACTAAAGGACATGAGCAAAGGACATTTCTTCATCAATGAGGTCTGAAGTAAGGTTCTAAAACCTGCAGCATTTAGGAAGGACATGTTTTCCTGTAGAGTGGTTTACCTTTTGAGGAGTTTGCTTGTTAATGAATAGCAGCTTAATAATAATTAAATTGATACTAATTCAGGTTTACTATCTAATGTAGGCTTAACAAGTAATGAAAAGGGGCTGTTGTGTATGCATTAAACTTGGAATAGCACATCTGATACATCTGTGTTTCAGACAGCTTAAGGATGTTTTCCATCAAGTTTGGAGATGTACTCATTTGTGGAATAGTTTAATGTCATTTGAAAGTTTGAGAAAAGAATTCTAGCTGATAGGAGGGAAGAAATCTGGAAAGCAACAATGCTGGAAAGGCTACAGACATGATTTTACAGTGACAGAGTAACAGATTCCGCATGTCATGCGTAAGAGTATCCCGTGTTTTGCTTCAGCTAGTTAGTCCTGAAAGGACCTTGTTGGGGAAGCTAGTTTCCAATATTTTCTCTGGAAAGAGAGGGAGGGAGGCAGTTCCTAAAGGAAAAATAAGTGTTTACATGAACATTCATTATAATACTTGAAAAATTGTTTTTCAGATAATTGCCTTTGATGAACTTCGGACAGACTTCAAAAACCCAATAGATCAGTGCAACCCAGTCCATGCGGTGAGTACAACCAGTGGCTGTTGTTTAAAGAGAAAGAGATGCACTGAGCTGTCAGTGAAAGCATGAGTGGAAATGAACACACAGTTTTTTGGGAAGTCAGCTATAGTTAGGCCAGTCTTAGGAAGCCAGATGGCAATTCTCTATGCTAATAGCTTTTTTGCTGAAGGAGGCAGGAATGTAATTTGGAAGTTCAAAATTTAAAGGATATATAATGTGATGCTAATGCCTTCTTTTTATCTTTTCATTCTGTGTCACAACTTTTCCTTTTTGAAATCATTTGCTTTCTCTATTCAAGCATGGGATTTCCCATACTGTCTGTATCAATGAGTCAAAAGTTTGAAGGAATTTGATAAGCAGCACATTCCTAGACCTCTCTGTCCCATGGCAGGGCTCTAAATTCCCTGCCTTTAGAGTAAATAACACTTTCTGCTGCATCTGCTATGGAGAAGGTTAAATGCCACCCTGGGACTGTAAACTCGGTTTTACCTAATGAACCAAAATGCAACCCAAATTTAAGCATGTGAAAATTTCTCTGTAAATTTAACCAGTAATCTAGAGTGATTTAGCTGACTACAGTTAAACATGCATCAAATTTGTACCACCAGAACTAAGAGCAGACCTTGGCTCCCTGTCATCTCAGTGGGAATTACAGTGATTACGACAGGTGCTGAATTTGATCTCTACAGAGTACCAAGTTATTTAATTTACTGCAAATGATAACCAAATTCAGTAGCTACTACTTTGCCATTTAACCTTCTTTTATAACTCAGCAGAGGATTTGCAGTACTCCTTAGAACACTGATGATTTTAAGCAGGATATTTACACAAATCTTTGGTTTAAAAGACTTGTCTACAGCAAAGTAGACAAGCAAAGAATGAGAGCAGAAGAAAGAAATTATATGAAGAAATTGTCTAGAGGATTTCATTAGAAGTAATCTGATTCACTTTATCTGTTTTTTACTTCCCATCTTGAGAACTGCGCACAAGAAGAAAGTTTTTATATGTACCAAACTCCAGTAATTTGTTCTCTTCCTAAAATTTCTAAGATGCTCCTTGGAGATGATTTTCTCTTCTTTTAAAATATTAATAGAATGGGTCTCCAGGATAAAGAAAAAAATAATACATCTGTTTCAGTCATATTAGTGATGTGATCAAAAAGTGTATCGTAGAGATTCCAGTAAAACACGGGAAAATGTTCAGTGATCAGTTGACATATTCAACTATCTTCTTTGAAACTTGCTGTGATAACTCGAACAATAATCTCAGATTTTCATCTGCACAGTATACATGTTGATGACTTTTATAGTGGCATGAAGATTTTTAGCAGGTATTCCATACACTTGATCAAAGATATATTTTCCTTTTTCCCTGTGCATAGTTGCTCATGGCCATTGTTCAGCCTAGAGAAGAGAAGCTGCATGGAGACCTCAGAGCAGCTTCCAGTATCTGAAGGGGGCCTACGAGGATGCTGGCGAGGGACTCTTCATTAGGGACTCTAGTGGTAGGACAAGGGGTGATGGGTTCAAACTTAAACAGGGGAAGTTCAGGTTAGATGTAAGGAAGAAGTTCTTCACAGTGAGGTTGGTGAGGCCCTGGAATGGGTTGCCCAAGGGAGTTGTGAATGCTCCATCCCTGGCAGTGTTCAAGGCCAGGGTGGATGGAGGCTTGGGCGACATGATCTAGTGCGAGGTGTCCCTGCCCATGGCAGGGGGTTGGAACTGGATGATCTTAAGGTCCTTTCTAACCCAGACCATTCTGTGACTCTGTGATTTGGTGGGGTAGTTTTTTATTTAGTGCACTGTAAGAATGTCTGCTGTTTACTCATGTATCTTCCACAACATTTTCATGACAGTCTTTTTGACAAGAGAAGACTCAATTGTGGAGAAATTAGAGACAAAAAGAATGACAGTACTGAGAATTTAATTCAGATTTCCTGATTCACACTCTTACCTCCAGTTCAGAGCTAGACTTACAGCTTCTCCAAGGCCAGCTGCAGTTAGGCATGTATCTTCTAAAGGGAATTGAAAGAATTACCTTTCCTTTTCCCCTTACTCCTACTAAAGGCAAGAAGCTTTCTGCAGCTTCACAGGCACATCCACACAAGTCTGTTCTTATGCAACCATAAGTAAAATTTCTGAGTCTCTTTTAGATCACAGACACCATAGAGAGGCACAATATTTGTCTAGTGCCTGTCAAGCTGCCACTGTCTCATTGTCTTTCCAAAATTATACTGGTTTTATTTTTTTTAATGGCTTAAACTTGGGGATAGGAAAGGAAAAGAGACATTTCTTTGGAGAATAGAAATTAAACTCAGAGCAAATTTAAAACATTTGAAAAGCAAAAAGCTTAGGGAGACTTAGCTTTCTCACATTGGTATATTACATTACCTGCTTAAAAAGGGTCATCATGCAGAATATCTCTTCCCATGTCTAAATGAAAGTATTACCATACAGTTTTCTGAGGACAACAAAACCACTCTGCCTTCTGCAGTGTAACCAACAGTAGAATCTTTCACAGTAACTCCAGCGATGGGTTACACAGAATGAAATCTGATTTTACTAGTGAATTCCTCATCATGAGCCATTGAAGAGAAACCTGCCTTTGACTTGTCTTCTGTCCATGAATGGAGCTTAGAGCATTTTGAGTCGTAGTGCTTCATTATAGTGTCTTACAGGATTTATGAATGCATCTGTTGTTTAAAGTGGCCTTTCTAGGACACTTCAGGTATTCTTCAGTAATGGGTTAAATTCAGACACCTTCTTAGTGGTAGAGGAAGGACTGCCATACCACCTTCGTACTTGTTTTTCCCATTCAGATTTATCTTGAAGCTGGAGGTTGGGTACCTGAAAATGCAAGAGCAAGTCTCTGCGGTATAGATTGGTACCATTGGATAGAGCCACAAATACGGACTTAAAAAGAACTTAAAGCCTCTGGCTCAAGGCTAACATGGACTTGAACCCCTGGTTTATATTGTTACACCCAATAACAGATGAAAAAATGACTTTGAAATGGTAAATCATTTGGCTTGGAAGCAGTAGGTAAGATGTGAATACTAATATTTCAGAGTATTTGCTTCCCTGCAGCTATTAGTTATGATCTTGACCCATTGTAATTGTCATACATTGTTTTTAAGTGAGAACATAAGATAATCTACTTTTCTTGCACTTCTTTTTGACAGAGAGAGCGGCTGAGAAATATTGAGCGTATTTGCTTCCTCCTGCGAAAGGTGAGCATAAACTGGCCTAGGATTTGTGAAGCTTATGAGAATTAAAGCCATCCAGTAGTGACATGCATTCATTTTCTCTTTGAATGATACTTCCACTCCATTCATGAAAGGCTGGAATCTGCTTCAGAAATGGAAATCAAGGTGACCTTGTAAGGACAGAGTAAGATAAGTTATGAAAGGTTGACATAATAGAGAATTTCTGGATAAGAACTGAAACTTCAGAACATCAGCCCATTCATTTTGGAACATGCTTTTTGGAGGCAGTGAATCATTTTGTAGTTGCAGCTTGAGGTGCTTTTATAGCCGTATCAATTGATGATGTTGTTGTAGTACAGGTTTTAGAAATACCTTTTTTTTTTTTTTTTTTAACAATGGCTTACTGTTTATAAACTAAGCATCTAATTAGCTTATTTTAAACATATTTAATGTTTAAGACTTTTAATTGGCTGACTAGAAAACTTGATACACTATTTATTTTAACTTGACACAGGAGTGTCTCAGTTTCTGAGGGATTTGAAGGAGCTGATAAATTGTAGGATTGATACATTCATGGGTTACTCATCTGTAGCTTGAGAGAGGATTTTCATAAACATTCATTGTTCTGACTCTCTCCTGTTGAAGTTGAAATAATCAGAGTTCCAAACTATTTTGTTCTATATATATTCATGTTTCTATAAATTGCCTTCTGCAGAGGAGAAATGGAGCCACCTAAATTATTCTGTATTTTTGCTTATAAGGGTCATCACTGTAGCATGGACTGCTGACTGCATCCTAATCAAACTAAGAACTAAATTCACATGTGGTTTTAGGAAACTGATGGCCTCATCCTTAGAGGTTTTGGGAAAGCCAGTGCTAGAGTTTGTTGGTTTGGGGTGATTCGAAGGCACAACTGTGCCTGCATGCAGAATCTAGGAAGTGTCATTCTCTGATCAGTCAGAAATGGAATCATTTCTGTTTGGCACCATTATGAGCACATGACTGTTAGGAGCCTGTTTATGACAATAGGGACATAAAAATAAGAGAAAATACCACCAGTAGGCTTCCATTTTATCAAATAGGCAACCAGCCAACTTCAAGCAGTGTCCCAGTTACTTTGACATAAAGCAACTGGTGAGTGGTAATGTATTAATATATGTGAGCCCCATGGGAATGCCTTGCCTGCATCAGTGTTTAGTTTTTATTGCGCCTCAGCCTCACTGTGAACAGCAAAGTGGAGCATTTTGGCTAATTACAGGCTCTACATTCATAAGGGATTGGCTTGCTTCTGGTTCATTTAAACAGTTTGTTGATTCAGCCTCTTCAAAGTTTTTTGGGGACACATTTGTTTTAATTGAGAGATTATATGCAAGAAGAGGAAGGTGCAGTAATTACAGAGATTTGTAGTCTTCAAATCTGACAATCACTAAAAATAGCTGTAGTTTATGTAGTATAAAGGATTTGCTGGGGGGAAAATTCTGGAAAAATAGTAGAGAACGGAGTGCCAGCTATCTAGATCCAAGAAAATAGCAGCTATGATGTTTCAGCAAGCACTAAATATATCCCTCATTATAACATTGTGTGGCTGTAGGTCTGCTTCTCTTTCTATGAAACAACATACCTGTTTTCCTATGTCTTAAAGACAAAATTCTTTTAAAGGGCTCTGAGAAGGGTAATATCTTGCTGTTTATGACATTAGAACTTAATGCTGAAGATCTGCTGTGAATCTGTTTTTTAAAGTTATAGGTGGGCTATAAAGATGAGTTTCATTATCTGCTGATTTTAGAGGAGTTCTTGGGAATTACTAAATGGGCATACAGTGTGTCACAGAAATCTGATCCCAGTGGGCAAAGAGTTTCTTAAGGCTGGATTTTTGGTTTTATCTCCAAAATACCTGGAGAAGATTAATAACAAACTCTGACCAGGTATGTGGTATGTCATCAGATCTTGGATAAGTTATTTACATATCCGAAAATAAAATACAGAATGTGCTTGTTCTGCAGTCAGGCATTTTCTCATGTATATGGTGTAGAGAAAATGTTTCTATATCATTAAAACAAGTAGGAATCATGTGAAGCCCATATATGTGGTGCTGGCATGGACATAACGTGCACATGGGTCCATGTTTTGATGGTGCTGTAGAATTAGAGTTAGATAAGCCTAAGCTTTATCGTTACTGGAGGGTGACTGACTACATACAAAGAAGCTATGAACTTTGTATAGCCATGGTCAAATCTCTTCTATCCTGAAGTAACTGAGAAGCAACCTGAAGCCAGCACAAACTGAGGTTCTCTCAGGATGCAGGTATCTCATTTTACTAAGTGTTGTGTTGTGGCTGCTTTATAATTCTGTCTGTGGACACTGGTGTGTCATAGGTGTTACATGATTCACATAGGACATACACTAAGATTGGTAAATGCTGCAGAGTCTGTGTCTGTGCTATCTCTTTTTGCTAAATTGCCATTATTTCTCAGGATATGATTATGTGACACTACAATGCTGTACAGAGGTACACAGACTAGGTGTGAATGAGCTGTCTTGAGCTACTGCAAGCAGTACAGTAGACAGCAGTACAGGCTTCTTGGGCTGATTAGTCCTGTTGAGGAATGGGGTAGGTGAGATGTGCCATACAGGTCTATTATGATTTTTGTGATCAAATATTTTGGTGGGGCAATTAAAGTATATTCAGTTAATGATGGCAGCAATATTACAGACTTGCAGTTGTATTTCAGGAAATCTACCTACCTGATTGATTCCTGTTGGATAGACTTACTTTAGCACTAAAGACAATTAGGAATGTCCTAGGTTAAAACACAGTCTATTTCATTAATCAACCACTGTAATACTATTACTTTACCTTTGAGGAAATTTAAATTTAAGTTGTGATTATGTTATACATTGTCATTTTTTTAATTACTTTGATAAATCCTTTCTAAGGAAGAGAGTTGATTGAACTTGCTTCTTGCTCAGCAAACGTATTTCAGACTTCAGTATGCTCCTGCCAAACACTGCTGAACAGTATAAGTGACCTTTGTCAAGTTATCAGCAAATACTTGTTTTTAAACCCCGTGAAGCTAAAGTATGAATGATTTATGAACAGCAGAACTGGAACTTACCTGGGAGGGAATTAAGTAGGTAAAAGACAGGCTTCTACTTGGTTTCCTACTGTAATGGAGCCTTTTAGTTAAGATAGGCATAAAATTTGTAAAACTGCAAGCGTAAGAAGATACTGTGCCTGAGCTCAGTCCTTTTATCTTGATTTTATTTGAGCTTACTTAAGGGGGGTTTTTTTGCAAGTCCTGAAGGGATGATTGGAAGAGAGCAAATGCAACAAGAAATCTAACCACAGGCAAGGTGACATTAATCGCAAAGATGTTCCAGATGAACTTGAACTGTCTTGAGAAATATAAATATGTAGACAAAAAACCCTTCAGGGACAAGTTTTGAATAACCAAATATAGCTGCTTCAGTACTCCAGTACTAGCCGTAGTAACAGCAAGAGTAGATGGTAAATCAGGAGATGGGGTATTTAACACACAACAAAACCTCCTCACCTTATCTTTTTTGAAGCAAGTTTTAATGTTTTAGTTAAGAGGTTGGGGGTTGCCAGTGCTTGGTCTGTTCTAGTACTTCTGTCAGTGTGTTTCCAGTGGAGCTGGATCTGTGGTAGTAGTGATGAAAACTTATTCTTTACTCAGTAGTTCTGGGGTTTACCAGATTCAATTGTGGGTTTTAGTACTCTGCAAAAATAAAATCAGTCTTTCAAAATTTATATTCCATAGTATATACCCTAATAGACATCACAGTTGTGTTTTACTCTGTTTACAGGTTTTGGTAAGTAACCAAAAAGAGCTGTTATAGCAGGCATTACATTTAGACTGAGATCCTGTAAATAAAATGTAAAACCTAGTGAGCATAATACGTAATTCCAGACACCAGAGTGTCTGCCTGAAGTTTTGTTTTGGTATGTTTCCATATTTAAATGTTCTGTAAAACACCCTCAAAATTCCTTACATGTATGAAAGTAACAGTAATTCAGAGGCATGAGTAATAAGAAGCTTAAAGGGTTGTGGGTTAACACGACAGGTGCAACTGTAGATGGAGCATTCCAAGGGAGAAGATAAGGCTTGATCCTGTGTCCGTGTCATGCCTGTTTGTCAGTGTTGAAATGCACATACTCAGAGCTTGGAAAAAGCCAACGGTATGTTCATTGAAGCATCACTGAGCTCATTGGATCAGCTAACAGGGAACAAGTTAGCTTTTCAGCTTTTCCTTAATAGTGGATAAAACCAGTATGTTCTGAGTATAGTGGTTCTACTTGACATGTAGATAAATATAATGGGAAATCAGCATTTTTAAAAAGTAGCCCTATCTTTCTTTGTTTATACTTATTCGGCGGACATGGTTTTCCCTGTAGATTTTAGATGAAGGGGACTAACCTATATACACTAGTGTGATTGCTGTATGAAATAATTTTTGTACTTGGACCTTCTTAGGTTCCAGACCTTCACCTCCTAGTAGCTTCTACCATTCTCTGCATGCAGCAGATGCAGTGAACATACCCCTTTGGAAAGTGTCAGGTGTCTAGCTGATCTCAATTGACTCATCACATTCTTTTCTTCTTGATAAATTTGCTGGTTGTTACAGTGATTGCTCCTTCCATTGTTCTGCCTTATAGTCACTGGCAAGCTTGAGAATGTGATGGATTTTAAGAGTGTGTTTCTGGATATGTCAGTTGATTGCTTCATCATGGATTTAGGCATTTATAGATGTAACATTCTTCTAGCCCGTCTACAGGCTGATAGTCTTTAGCCTTAGAGTACTTCTGTAAGCCCATAGCACGGTTCATTAAAAGGCTTTATGTAAGGTTATGCAAGCAAATTAAGCAAATATGATGTATAATCACAAGGAATTTTTAAAGTGGTGTGTATCTTGTGTCATCTGAGAAGAAACCAGAGTTTTTAGTCTACTCATAAGGTATTTTTTGACACTGGGAAGAGCCATGCTTAACAGGATGATGTTTC